GTTCCATTAAAATCCATTGACACCGGAAGTCGAATTCATCGTGTGTAAACCTAGAAGGTGTGATGATAGCACCTTTAAACCTAGAAGGTGTAATGATAACACGAGTGTAAACATAGAAGGTGGGATGATAGCACGTGTAAACCTAGAAGGTGGAATGATAACACAAGTGTAAACATAGAAGGTGAGATGATAGCACGTGTAAACCTAGAAGGTGGAATGATAACACGAGTGTAAACATAGAATGTGGGATGATGAACATGTGTGTCAACACAGAAGGTGAAGTGATAACACGTGTGTAAGCATAGAATATAGGATAATAACACGTGTGTAAATACAGAAGGTGAAGTGATTACACATGTTAACAAAGAAGGTGAGATGATAACACGTGTGTAAACATAGAAGGTGGGATAACACGTGTTAATATAGGTGGGATGATCACACGTGTAAACCTAGAAGTTAATGGGTGATAACACGTGTGTAAACCTAGAAGGTGGGATGATAACACGTGTGTAAACCTAGAGGGTGGGGTGATAACACGTGTGTAAACATAGAATGGCGGATGATCACCTCAAAGGAGTTTTTAAGATTGCATAACGAAGCAACGCCATTCTATCAGTAATCTTACAGAAATAATACATAGTTCTAATTATGATGATGATAATGATTTTATCAACTCTACGTTAATGATAGATGGGAACTTCTTATGAATGGAACCAAACATGCTTCTCAAACTAATCACACTAGGCCATACTCTGTAAATAATCATGGTATCAAATTTGAAAGTGTGCTCGCCAAAATGTTAGCAAAGCCAAACGGTTGTACAAAAAGTTTTATCATGCTTACCACCATGAAAAAATGTACAAACAAAAGCATCGTTAAGGTCAAGAAATCCTGAAGATTAGAAGAAAAATATCAATATAAGTAGTAGAAGAATGTAAGGTTGGTATTGAAGACATTTTCAACTTTTTACCAAAACATTTGAAGGAGAAGATAACCACGTGTTACCTATTAATGAGCTTACTGAACTTGAAGTTAATATTTCTATAAATGAGCCAATACTACCTACTGAGATAGGGAAATGTGCCAGTATAATTAAAATGATAATGCGGTTTATTACGACATGCTATGTAACGACTATATTATGTCAAGTATTGATGTAATGTTGTCATTATATGTTGAAGTATTCAGTTATATCTTGGCCCACCATCATCATCTTCTGTGGTCTGTTGTCCGTGGTCCTTTGTCCGTGGTCCGTCCGTCCGTGAACATTTTTTGTTATCGCTATCTCTTGAGAAGTACTGGATGGATCTTTCTCAAATTTTACTTGTAGGTTCTCTTGTTTATACTTGTCACGTGTCTGAGTTTTGGCTCCATGGAAATATCACAGTTTTCAAGAATGATATTAGCTTGTGTCACTTTGGTTAGCTTTCCAAATTTTCATTTGTAATTAATTAATCAACCATTTACCATTTATTTTCACTTGTGCATTAAATGAATTCGCTAAACACTTTAAAAACGATTACGCTGTGGCTTTATAGACTTTGCGAAGGCCTGTGTTAGTGTTTGGATGGTATGTCTGTGGGATATACGCTTGATTAGTGATATAGATGGAAAATGTTTTCGGGTTATAAAAAATATGAATAATAGCATGAAGGCTTGAGTGGGGAAAGGTGAGGTATTCTCGAATGCATTCCCGTGTACGAGGACTGATTGATAAACTGTGAGTTCTGTATTGTAGAAGTTAAGCAGGGGTGTATTTTCTCAGCTCTACTTTTCACTGGCTATTTTAGGCTTCGTACCCGAAAACTAGTGCATTTGGTATGTTTATGTCGAAGAGGTAGCATCCTAAAATATAAAAAGGTAAATTACTTTTTCAAAATGGTTAAAATAGTTGAAAAGCAATGATTCAATATTTGCAGAAGAAATGTCTAGCACCTATTGGTATTCATACTGATATGGTAACAACAATAGGGAATGGCGCCCGTTTATATGCTACAGTGAAAAGGTGGGTGGCGGAATTTAAGTATGGCAAGCAGAGCCTTGGGGATGACGCCCGCCATGGAAGGCCTGTCACTGTTGCAACCCAAGGACAATACAGTATATGATACTGTTATGGCTGACACACGAGTTAGAGAGAGATATATAGCCAGTGCATTTGAGATTTCAAAGGAAAGAATACATTCCATTCTTACGGAAGGTAGCTCTCAACCCGTTGGGTATCAAAATTTCTGACAGTTGATCAGAAGCATACCAGGCGGATTCTGTCGTGTGCTTATCTTAACCTTTTAGGAGCAGGTTCTCTGCAGAGGTTTGTGAATATGGGTGAAACGTAGGTCCATCATTTCACCCCAGAGGGAAAACAACAATGGAAGCACTCCGGTTCACTCCACCCAATAAAACAAAGACTGTTTCATCAGCTGCGAAGGTTATAGCCTCGGATTTCAGAATTGATCAAGCATCCGCCTTATTTGCCTGATCTCGCTCCATCAGACTTTCATCTATTTCCAAAATTGAAAGAGTCCATTTCCGGTACCCACTTTCGGTCAGATGATGACGTCACACACGAGTAGAGGACTCTCTGAACTGCCTAGAAAATGACTTCTTTAAAACTGGCATTGAGGCCCTAAAAACATATCTTGCAAAATTTTGCAAACACATACTCCGAATTTTATTATATAGATATCCATGTGCTAGTATGGCAAGAAATAGCCAGAATGAAGTAACAACCTGTTATCAATTTTATCTCATGAACTTTCATGTAAATGTATATTTGATGAATGCACATGTTAAACAGTCACGTGTTTATTTAAGTAAACATTGCCCACAGAGTTCCATATTTTATAAACTGAAAAAGAAATTTAGATACTAATTTAATCTCCCTGCAACATTATTTTTTTTTTAGATTTAAACATATTTATTCCCCCAAAATTGAGCAGAGGATTAGGCACAAGTTATTTCAACTTATGACCGCCTTTTCCTCTAATACTATACATGATAACATTAACAAGGCATACATAATATATTTAACAGTTAGTACATTTTACTTAAAATCTGTTGCTGGATTTGATAAAAAAAAATTGCACGTGTCTGAATACTTCTGTATTGGTAGTTAGGGACAGATTTTCATTTCCAAATAAAAGTAGATGTAAATTCACTTGATCTATATTCAACATGTTTATACTTTGAAAAAGCGTTATTCTTACCCTATCAGAAAGCTTACATTCTAGGAAAAAATGACCAACATCCTCACAGTAATGTCCACAAGCAAACGATGGGTTATCAACAATCTTAACACGGAACAAATCACTCTTCAAAGAGCTGCACTGATGTCTGAGTCTCGTATGTAATAAATTTAGATTACGTTCGCCAAAATTATAATAAGATGGAGGACAAGAATTAGCGTCATTAGATAAATAAGATTTAAAAGCATTCAAAGATGGTAATGTTCTTATTGAACTGTCTAGCGAATTCCACAGACGTAAACTTGATGGCAGAAAAGAAGAGTTACTTAGGGAGAGTCTGAAAGAAGGAATGATATAATCATGTTGGTTCCGTAAATTCTACTGATTGTTGTAACCCACTGTGTTTGGCAAAAGGGCCGATAAATAAAAAGGGGTAAAATTATTCATCATTTTGTATAATACATTTAACTTACGTGGTTTCCTTCTCTCTGATAATGTTTCCAATCCCGCTTCAAAATACAGTGATTCATTACTAGCATACAAAGGTAAACCTGTTATAACTCGAGCCGCTTCTCTTTGTGCTTTCTCTAATTTCTCAGAATCCAAAACATTGCCAACTCGTATTGTAAATTTAGGACGTGCAATACCAAGTAAATAATTTAATGTGGTTGTTGGGCCAATTTATACCACGAGAAAATCGATTATGTATTGCGTGTAATTGGCGACGATTTAAATTATTTGCTTAATTGCAATCAACCGTCAATATGTATTAGCGGGAAAAAACATGTCCATGTAGTATAATAAAAGGCCAAATGGATTTAAAGTTTATACTTTATTCAATTATGTAACAACGTGAGATGGTATCATTAGATACATTCATTATGGACATCAATGAGATAATTAATTCACAATGCTGATATATATCCTGTCTATCCATGTGGTATTGTTTATATGTATTCTGTACACCTTAATGTTTATGAGAATAAAACAATTGTTCTTGCCATTGATTGCCAAGTCCGCACTAACTACGTCCTAGCGACACAGGTAGAGACGATTAGGTAACAGTTTCACGGTTCAGAGAACAAACCCAAATCTAACGCCAGAGAAGTCACCACTGGGCCCAGATTCTAACACCTATGTATTATACGTCCCTGAATATAGGATGGTGTTTCAGTTGAAACATGCTTTTGTTTCTTTTTGTTTTTCATAAATATCAAAAATCAAAAGAATTCATCTGTCACATAATGCGATTTGAAAGTTTTCTATTAATGTTTATTTTGTAACATCAGTCATGTATTTTCGGCGAGAATATCCTTGCTAAATAAGTATGGTTAATTCTAATTATTTCGCTGTGACTTTACAAACGCTGTTGGTGATATAAAATACACCTTTTAATATCATACCTTTGTTAAAATTTGAGAAAATCCATCAGAGGCTCGTTCGGTAAATAAATGCACGTTAATCACGAAAATTTGCAAAACACACATACTTGAATAACCTCATATAGGTTAATAGTACAAAAGTCCTGCTATAATCCAGATCATTCGAAAGGGGGAGGGGTCAATCGATTGTAAATATGAATTAGAGGTGTTGTTTCTCCGTCTTGTATAATTTTCAGAAATGTGAATTGTGTTTACTATCTGGTGTACTTATTTTAAAAATAACAACAGCACATAATTGAAATATTTTCAGTAATTTTGTTTTTGCCGTCGCGAGAACAGCGTGTCAATTTCGATCTCAGGTGTCGCCTGTTTACGGAACTAATTTAACGCGCATGCGTAGTATCCCTGTTCCGTCTAGGCTGTCAGACAGCCTCCCGGTCCGACGAAATATCAACGAAGACTAAAAATCTGACTGTATTTTTCCATTTCAAGCAACCGAATGGGTTGACGTAAGACACAAGGTAACACTGAGATGAGAAATGAACTCACAATACGTGGGAAACGGCCAGAAATTGTAATACAGTGTGCTAAAAATAGGCAAAATGGCGACCAACCTTCTGCAAACAAGTGAAATTCGTGAACGAGAAAATGACGTGAACAGTGTAAAAGAAGGATCGGAAGACGGTAAGATATATAACCTGATGTTAAAAAATCTTTAAGCTATAGAATTACACATACACTGCAGTATTAAATGTTATTTATTTCCAGAATCCCTTTGCTATCTGAATGTGGGGGATGGCGATCAGGACAGATGATGATAATTTTTGCCTGTGGTAAAAAATCAATGTGGACCACAGTGATTTAGTGGAGTTTATATATTAAAGATGAAACCAGCATGTGGTTATTCATAGGGGATGTTTATTTATTTATATCAACACTCTGGCTACATGAGCTGATACTTTCCATGTTATGGAATCTTATATATATAGTGATGATGAATCATGATTTTGCAATAAAGAAAAATCAATGTTCAAAATTCTGTTGAAAATGATAAAGTTGTCACATGATTATTGTCAGTTCGATTTTCTCTCTGGCTATTTGATAAATATGAATAAACTAGGAAACAAAAGCATTTAATGTTATGAATAGAAATGTGCTACATATTATATTAATAATATGAAATCAATCATAGGTTCCTTTTTTCTCTGGTCCAGGCATTCAATACTGGTTGCCAACCTGCTTTTGTCAAGTGCCATGTCAAGGGTCACTAATACACACATTTTGTTAAATTGAGTTAACAATAATTCTGCACAATAATGTCTTAAAACAAAAAAAAAATATTGAGAAAATTTCATGGAAAATTGGTGAATTAAAATTTTGAAAGCAATGGTGACCAGTATAGTTGTCTATGTATTCCATGCTGTATATTGAGCTATGTCTGTATGATGTTAAAAAAATTACCGATAGTCTAGTAAGCTGGAGATCCTAGTAACACAGGTTTCATCCCTAGCAGAAGCATTGAAAAATTACCTCAGTTACTTGCAGTGCCCATAAACTGTGCCCAGTCCCCTGAAGAATCTTAAAGGCGTGACTATTTTATTGTCAATATTTGGAAATGTTACAATAGTTGCATTAAAGGTTTTCAAATGTGATTCTTGTTGTAGGGTAACTAACTATAGTGCATACATCTGTTATCATTTGGTGTAATGTGTCAGTATAACAACAGAACATATATGATATGGTATAAAGTATGAAAACCTATGTAATGGACTTGTGTATGTTAATCTTATTGTGCGAGAAACTTCAGCTATCACATGTCAGTGATTGTGAAATTCCTGAAATTGAATGCTTCAGTGTTTCTGTATGTATACACAACTCTGGAGTCATGGGCTTTAATCCCAGTCGGTTTTGTTATTGAAACAGGTCAACTATTTATAGATATATATTTATAAAAGTACAAACTAGGTAGGGAGTGTTTAATTTGACTCAGAATATGATATATGTGTGTGTAAATGAAATTTTCCAGAACTTTGTTTACATGGAAGATATGCGGCATAGATATTTGATAATTTAGATCATGGCGTATGTGTGATGTGTAATATACATATTGATTCTTAACCAAAGATTTATTAGAGTGTGTTGGAAGTGGTCCATAACATGCCATAAGTGTGTATCACTCTAGAATCAAGTGAACATATAAATTTCATAAATTGTTATTTTGTCAACAAACAATTTAAGTAAGACTAATGTTATTTAGAATTAAGTGATGATCTTGTTGATAATAAGATTGAATAACACAGCCCATTAAATAACAATGGAATACAGCCTGTCTTTGTGAAATGCATCTAATTTCCAAAGAAATTCTGATTTTAACTGTAAACAAATAAAATTCATATTGCAGTTCCATCATCACATGAGTGTTAATTTAAAAGTCTGAATATGATATGTAGCGACCTTTATAGATAGAGTTCATTGTTGATAAAATGGGACAAATTAAAGAAAAGATGGCAATTGCTATCAAATGTCAAGTCATTTTCACATCAATACTGAAATATTGTAGTGTTTTTTAATTAACAAAGTAAAATTGATCATGATGAGATCATATGGTCACCACCACACAGGATTTATGGAGACTAATGACATACTTCCTAGCCTAAGGTGACAGAAAATGCAGACATTACACATTGCTTGACTTTATAATTAGTTAACAGGAAAGTGAAACTAAATTTGCATAGATGTGTAAACGTGCATATAATATATTTATACAGGGCATATCTCCCAGTAGCCTGACGGTAAACCTTCCATATTTTCATCTCAAATTTTCTTTGGCAGTGTAATTTATATCACTACATAATGAACTAAAACAAGCATTTGTTGTCATATTGAGTATAAGAAATGAAAATTTGGAAACATTTTAACATCTCTAAAATAGAATTATCAAACTTCAATTCACATCAACAATAATTTCAAAAGTAATCTCTCTGTGATTTTCAGGACTTGTGTGATGTTTTACCCGATGGACTCAAATTGTGAGAATTAACACAGTCTCGTGGTAAAGGGACTCACCCAATTTGTGAGTATTAACTCACTGTCTCATAGTAAAGGGACTCGCCCAAATTGTGAGAATTAACTCACTATCTCATAGTAAAGGGACTCGCCCAAATTGTGAGAATTAACACAGTCTCATAGTAAAGGGCTTTCCCAAATTGTGAGAATTAACACACTGTCTCATAGTAAAGGGACTCGCCCAAATTATGAGAATTAACACAGTCTCATAGTAAAGGGACTCGCCCAAATTATGAGAAATAACACAGTCTCATAGTAAAGGGACTCGCCAAAATTATGAGAAATAACACAGTCTCATAGTAAAGGGACTCGCCCAAATTATGAGAATTAACACACTGTCTCATAGTAAAGGGACTCGCCCAAATTATGAGAATTAACACACTGTCTCATAGTAAAGGGATTCACCTTAATTGTGAGAATTAACACACTGTCTCATAGTAAAGGGATTCACCCAAATTGTGAGAATTAACACACTGTCTCATAGTAAAGGGACTCGCTCAAATTGTGAGAATTAACACACTGTCTCATAGTAAAGGGACTCACCAAAATTATGAAAATTGTGTTCTAGATTGGCATGAAAAATTCTGGAAAAGTCACTGTGTCTGGTTAGTATTCATGTTTCACAAAAGGCAATGATACCTAAAGTTTAGCTTTACATCTATATGTTATATTGGCTGCATAGGTTTCTGTGTAAGCAAATCTCACGTCTCGGATATCAGCTATGTAAAATTGTAAATCCCTTGACATTCGGCCCCAACATATGTCTGCGTATAAAAGAATGTCGATAAATATTTCAGCTTCTCTGAATAAATGTTTCAAGTATGTTCTTTTATATTACTGATCGGTGTTTGTTTGAGTTCAGTTCTTGTATATCTTTTTTCTTAGTTAACACATACGGTCCAGTGAACAATCATGACCTATATTTTGAAAGTCCTTTTTGGAATAGGATTCTTACTGATTCTGTCCCAAATACATTAACTCTGTAGGTTTATAAACCGTAAATTGATTTTTTTTATCTGTTTAGTCAGTGAGAAATATATAGCTGTGTAATTGATTTTGTTAGAAAGTTGTGTAACAATATATCAACCATGAAAAATATTTTGATATAGATTGATGTCCATTAGTGCAAATTTATGTTGTGACTGTATAATCTATAAACTGAACCCTGTCTAGACCTTATTAGACAGGAATAAAAAACAATTATGCGTAAAACTATGGGAAAGGTTTTATACCAGTAGGTCTATCTATACTTACTAGGTAATAAACCATTTATAAATATAGTTTATGGTTTGATAGAATCATAAACCTGAGTTATTTCATTGTAATGTTAGTCCCTATATCTCCAGGGCTTTCACACCCCATTTTGGGACTGGGGCCCGGGGCCCTTAGAATTGGGAAAAATAGCTGTGTTTTCCTTAGAATTGGGAAAACTTGAGGTCTAAATTGGGGAAAAAAGATACTATTTTGGATTGGGAAAATCTGGCAGATCGAGAGCCCTGATCTCTTTACTGATACTGTCTTGGCCCAATGTGATTGCTGCAGGATAAAGAAATTATTATTTTCACTGTAAATGCCTTGACAAAAATTATTTTCAAATTACACAGAAAAAAAAACATGGAAAAAAAATCCATTTGCTTCATGCTGATGATGGAGTGTAATCTGTAATATGAAGAATGGCCCCAACCATAACATAGTTTCCTGTGTCTATATCATGTTTAATAAATAATGTTAGATCACAGGCTGTAGCACCGGTTCATATTGAATTATGAAAAACACTATTAATATAATTGCCAATGTTTGCCATTCTGAATTTCCAGTGTTGACATGTTGGTGTTTTCTTAATTTGTTTTCATGGTCATTTAATGTAAAAAAAAATATTGTTTATAATTGTTTGTCTTTCGCCATGATGAAATATGTTGACACTTATTCATGGATTTGTATACTTGGTCTTGACCAGTACAATGGCAAGGTATCGTGGTCACCATATATAGACGATGATCACATTGAGAGTATTCTAGATCCTTGTGCCATATATGTAGTTCATATTCTCAAGCTATGTTTGATAGGCACTAGAATTGTTTATGAAATTGTTTTTATTTCAATGTTTCTAATATTGAATGTAGATATTGAATGTAGGGTGTCTTGAATGAAGTAAAGGATGTGGGTTTTAGACACTTTTTATGGCCTTCTGTTTAAATTATTCCTCTGGTCACTGTTTGCCTTGCCTTTGTTTCTTTGATTTTGAGATTGGATTGAAATCCAGAAGGCTCTGTAGCACATAAATATATTGTCACTAAGTTTAGTAGGATTTTTTCAGATGTTTACCAGTTCAAACAGTGATATTTGAGACTATGAATTTTGAGTTTAGGACAAGGATGATTTTCCTGTTGAACTCTCTCAGATTTTAAGATCTTCTATATCTGTTAGTATTGGAACTCATAAAAATTTTGGAATTGTTAAGTCTAGAACACAATGTCCAGTGTTTTGATGAGTCCCATTAATGAGAAATAAAGTGAATTTCCGAAAATTGGTCTAGTCTCCTAAGAAGAGCACAAGACTAAGACTGAAATAGTGGAGTTGTATAGTGTTACTATTGTAGGAGACAAAAACTGAAGAAATCAGTAAAATATTATATTCTAGGTTTCAAAAACGTTTATCAATCACATGGTCATTAATGTTTGATGCAATATTGATCAGTGTTCTGAGAACTCTTTTATTTTTCTGGGTATCAATTTTCACATTGTTTTAAATCACTGTTCAGTAGACTCTTGACTTGGTGGATGAATATAGCCTGATAAATTTGCTTGTACTAATTTTATGAATTCCTGAATTGAGAGGTCTCACAAAATCACAGAAAATTTCTTCCATGAAATAAACGATTTTTACAATATGTAGCAGTTCATACTATACACAGTTTGTAGATGAGATCAGGCACTTGTAGTGTACAGATACTTAGTACATGTTGGATCATCATTACAATCATTATTATTAGTCATAAGCCTTGGGGTGTACAATTTCATTTGTCATTAGATTATGTCATAACAATAAAACGCCCTTCAAAACATATCGCATGTTTGTTATGAAGAAATTTCTTTTGTTGTTTGAATTAGAGGTATTCAAATTACGGTAATTATAACATTTTTTTCTGATCTCTCCAAAAATTTGTCAGTGTTTAGGTGACCTAGATGTTTTGCTGAATTGTAGATTTTTTACCAACATATTGTTTACCAGATTTTTATGTAAGAAAATTCTCGTGTGAGAGGTTGGAGGAAGAGACCATATTTCTGGGTTATAAGCTGCAGCTTTGTTCCTTGGCGTGCATCTTATGTACAGATGCGGCTAATATGTGGACAAACAAAAATTGGTAGGGTGTGAAAAAAATGAAGACTATCGTCAGGATATCTGTTCCGGACAATTAAGTATTTTGGAACGGCCATTTTGTTGAAGCGTATCACATGCACTATTGATCTGTGTCCTCGCACCCTGATAATTTTGGTTGATGCAACATGTCACGCTTCCAGAAAGAATGAAAAAAATAATGATTTAAACCAAGGATACCAGTACACCAGTATGAAACGTCGGTAACAAGTTTGTGAGTACCTCTGTCCATCACATGTCTGCGACTGAAACAGATCGTCTAGAACCATCATTGGCAATCATATATTTGATGATTTTATGATTGAAATAGAAATAGCATTCGTGTGGATTTAATTAATCATACACTTTAATAAGAATCACAAGGATATTTTCTGAATTCTGTGTTTGCTTCGGAAGCCATAACAGAAGTTTACATTAGCCTGTTGCATCCTCAGATCAATAGGTCATCGGGTCAAATTCTAAAACGACCGCCATGCTTATTTATGATAGGAGTGGCTTTGTGTAACTTAAAAGAAATAATATGGGACTATAAGAATTTTGTCCGCATGCGAGGGCCTTGCTTAATATTGAACAGTACAGTATCTATGGGTAGAAAATCTTTGATGTTTCCCAAGCCAAACAGGTTTGGTAATTGCTATTTATGTTTTTGAAACATGTCGGTCAAATAAAGGATTATCTGTGTATGATTCATTTGTCACTGATGTTAATTGTATCACTGACGATCTTAACAAAGTGCCTTCCGTTGTCTCTTATATCAACATATTTTGGTCAACATAACGGTTGTCACACTGAAAGAAAGTATGCAGCTTATATCCCGTTGTGTCTTATATGTGGATAAAATAAAAAAAAAACACTAAAAACCTGTCCTGAGACTTACACTCGGGTGCAGTTTACAGCCCAGAATATACATAATACAGCAAAATATTATGCTCTGTCTGATGTGAGACGCTCTGTCTTGTCTGTCTGATACCTTCACATATCATTTGGCTCAAACATCACAATTTACACATCTCAAAATGACATTATTCATAAACGCACAGCTAGAGGGGTAATTCAAAAACACAGGGGAAGTGGGTGTGGGGGTAAGTAATCAAGTTTTTAATCTGTTTGGACACAGTAAGTTGTGAGAAAGGAATCTTATCCTCGTCATATTTAACATGGGTTTATCCTCCAACTCAGTCTGACATTTTGTGATGTCTTATTCTCAGCTCAAGTTAGATTTTGTTACAGATTGTCAGCTTTTGGCTGAGATAAATCTCCCAACACATACCAGTAATAGATTCTTTTTATTCCATATGCCTACATCAGGGCAGCCGTGGGTAAGGTATCTTTATCACAAGCTCTCCACCTCTGGTTTGCTGGTGTGAGACCTACTTGGGTCAGTTGCCAGGTACTAGTTACAGGCCAGTGGTTTTCCTCTGGGAACTCTGGCTCCTCCACCACCCAAACTTGGCACATTTTAGAATAACTCTGGCTATAAATGGGATGTAAAGCAACAACAAGCCATATGATTTACTCTCTCAATCTGCCATATCCATATCTTAATAGGATAAAAATGTCAACAGTGTCATTTTCCGTTGATATTTATCTTTGCCCACTTCCTCAAATTGAACCATAGTTGATGTATTTGACCCCTGTGATGATTGCAAATTGAATGTCTCTTTATTCAGATGTCAAATAGAAAAATTAGTGGCAATCTAGTTCATTGTTCACATAAGTACTATATTCCATCACATCATTTGAGATTATGTATAATATTGCAGTAAAAAAAATTGATTAAAGATAATTAATTGTGTACTATTTTTAGTATTAATTTGCTAAAAATGTAACATTATTTGTCTATTGCAGAGTGTGATGATGACGGGAAACAGAAACTACGACCCCCTCCCATAGAGGTAAGGGCTAGAACAGAACTTATAAGGGTCCATATAAGGTCTTGATGTGGTTTGTTTATTAGGAACATTGGATGTGTATCTTCGAATAGTCTGTAATTTGTTTCAGGCATAGACCAATGTTCAGATAACAAGCACCAGACTGATTAATATTCACAAAGCACCAGACTGATTAATATTTACAATGAAATTATATATATATCAAAATTATATGTTAATATTCACAATGTAATTCTCTAAATATCAAAAAAAATTGTATTAATATTCACAATGTATTTCTATAAATATCAAATTTTTTTATTAATATTCACAATGTAATTCTATAAATATCATAAATTTGTATTAGTATTTGCAATGTAATTCTATAAATATCAATTTTTTTTATTAAAATTCACAATGTAATTCTGTCAATATCAAAATTTTACCTGGTTATTGATGTGAAGAAATGTTGGATGCATTGAACTGTGAACTTGATGGCACCTTCAAATTCTAGTTGTATACATAGTGATCTTCAAGTTATACAACATGAAAACATGGTTTTATATTGCAGTGAGCCTTCATGATCATTTCCATATCAATTGAGGTTGGAACTAAAATCACCCAATTTCAAATATAGTGATATATATTTATGTTATATAAATACAATAAAGACTTATTGGACAGAGATTTTGTTATATTTGAAATTCAGTGGTATGTCAATATATTTTAGTTCAAATTAAAGGGAAATGGGCTTAATTGCCTATATTTTACTCTTAAAAAAAGAAATTCATGTTTCTTGGGCAAGTGTATTTTCCAAGTGCTTGGGAATTTTTGTACACACCAAAGCATTCAGATTGAATGTGTTTGCAGAAGATATTGAATCAGACACAAGCTAGATATGATTAATTGGACGCTTACTCTTTCCTTCTGTTTACAATGCTTGTTAGTTTGGATCATGTTAAAATGTAAAACAATTGAATCTATTTGGAGTTATCTTTCTATATATATATATATATGAAGTTTCCTTTCAAGTTTTCTCTTTGAGTTTGACGTGTCATGTATTTATTTTTGTGAATAGTAATGGGCTTGTCAATGATGTACACATATTTACTGTAAAAGTACAAAGCAAGTAAAGACAGTGTTAATATAACTCATGTCCTAAAAGAGATTAATTGAACACATTAAGAGTAGGGACTTGTGTTGAGGATGGTTTCTCTGAGGTATCTGTTTTGGGGGATATTAGAAAGATTCTGGGTTAGAGTCATTTGTATTTCACTGCATGATTAAAAAAAGGAGGTAATTAAAAGGTCTCCCTCCACTCTCTGTAGAATTGAAGATTTTCGGAAGACCTGCTCTTCGTATTTAGAATCTGAATATTTTTCTTTCTTTCCTGTCTTAACCTATCTTCTGTACATAACATGCCACTTATTGTGTTCCTCCTGACAGCTTTCCTGCAATCATATAACCTTGGTATTTGTAAGGACATTAAACTCCTCTAAACAAAGATGAACAAATAGTAAAAAAAAATCAATTATTTCATATCTATTTTCCAGACACCTGCCAATGTGATGGGCCATGGCCCACGGACCCCAGGGGGGTCGAAGGAGAAGGAGAAAAAAATTGGGCACAGACGTGTAGACGAGACCGGTATTGTCACATACAAAAAGGTACAACCTTTAAATCAAGTCTTATCTACTACTCAAGTTGTTGAAAAAAATTTATATGTAATTATTATTTTTAATAATTCTCAACCTTAAGGAGCCTGTTTTACCCTCTTTCACATAAATTTGATTTCAGAAACCAACTTCGGAGTTGATGGCTGCCATACAACTAGGGATAGGAGCAAGTGTGGGAGGTCTATCATCAAAACCTGAACGTGACGTTCTGATGCAGGATTTCCAAGTTGTCGACAGTGTTTTCTTCCCTGCGTATGTAAAATATTGTTATGTTTACCAGCATAGTGACTACAAAAATGGCTCCCTTAAAAATGTACATTTTGAATATCAGGTGATTTTTTTATTTTAAATTGATCAGCTGTCCTTAGTGTTATTGGTATTGCTGCTGTTATAGCATGTGAAAGATTGGAATCGCATACAACCTTCCAAAAGAAAGATGGAAAAGATTTGCAGAAAAACATTAAAAAGTAACATATTGAAAATTAGCTTCAATCAAGAGGAACCAGTCTCAACAGGCTGGAGGGAAATTTACTACATTAGGTATTACATCTTCAAGTTTTGCCCTGTTAGTCAGGCTTCATCAGTAGGACCATGAATGTGCTGATGAAAGCTGACTAATAGGGTAAAACCAATAGACATATTACCTTATACCGTAGATTTCAAGAACCCACCTTCACAGTGTTATGCTTGATACTCCTGATTAAAGCCCAGCCTTATTCAGCAATCCCCTGCATACCTTCAGGTATCCTGGTCAATGGCAAAGGACCCATTTTCTTATACATCAACGACGACGTTGGCTTTATCTCCAGATACATAATTTAAATAAAATATATATAGAAGAGTATTAAAATGTAATGATATTAAAATGAAATATATTCCCCTCAGGGGACATGCTTACATAATATATCCTATGTTGTATTGCAGATGTCATCACTGTTGTGTTACATTGTATTTTTTTATGTTTATAGGGAAGGCAGCAACCTCACACCTGCTCATCACTACAGTGATTTCAGGTTTAAAACCTACGCTCCGATTGCGTTCCGATATTTTCGAGAATTGTTTGGTATCCAGCCAGATGATTTCCTGGTAGGTGTAGATTCCTAGTGTCCGTGTGAGAAAAAGAAATCTGTGCCATCTAAAATCTTGTCATGATCTGAACCACAACTTTTTGTATATATAACAGATATCATGAACATCTTATTGATTTTTGATCCATCAAAAGTTCTTATAATAAAAAAAATATAGTAATTTGTACTTCAAAGTGTTCTTTTGAAGCAAGTATATTTCTGGTAGAATGTAGAATTGTCATTTTTTCTTTGTTTTTCTTTGTTTTTCTTTATACCGATTTCTAAGATAGTAGATGTTCTGACAATTCACTGTAAAATCTTATACCTTTTATTAGTTTCAAATGTTGTGGTTTCTCCAGATATTATTCTGTGGACACTTTGATAATTTAGTGATCGAGAAGGCTACTGATATCAATATCTTACGTCAGGTTGGAAATAGTAAAGCAATTACGTGGACATTTGATTTGTGAGAGTGCCCAATGTATCAATGAAAATAAAACAACCAATGAAAATAAAGGATTTTACACGAAAACAAACTTAAAATTCAGTGAGCATATCAACAATATAAAGATTTATATCTGATCTCTATCACATTTAAGGATTCTACTTACTTGACCTTTGACAAGGTCTCAAAGTAATTTCTTGTCTTTGGAATTGTGTTTTGAAGTTTTGGTTATTCTAGACTGTCAGTTTGATTCACTTAATATATTCTGAAAGTTTTACAACTCGTGATAAAAAATATGATGGAAATACGTTTTTAACATTTCAATTATTTTGAAGTATCAGTACAATTCCGAAAGTTTTACAACTTGTGATGTAACCATAGGATAAACCAAGACGATGTAAATAATGTTTATATAACAAGTTTCACCATTGTTGTTGTTGTTGTTGTTGTCGTCGTCGTCGTCGTCGTCGTCGTCGTGACAGCAACATTTTGTCCCGCTTCTGTCTTTATTTTACAATAATTAACTTCATTTTTTACAGCTGTCACTTTGTGACGAGCCATTAAAAGAACTGTCTAACCCTGGTGCTAGTGGCAGTATATTTTACCTGACATCAGACGACGAGTTTATCATTAAAACAGTACAACACAAAGAGGCCGATTTCTTACAGAAACTGCTACCAGGCTACTACATGGTAATATCATACAGCAGATTATCTCCCTTTGGAAATAATTCTACCTTTATTTAATATTGTAAAATATCCTATTTATTTTTTTGGTATTTTCAAGGAGATAATGACATCACATACAAGAATGTAAACCATGAACATTAGAACTCTACAGGATTGATGTTTGTTTGATAATGAGACATTTTATTTTTACTTCAAAGTTTCAGTAAAACCATGTGAATTTAAACCATTAAAACAAGACGATAATAATAATAATAATAATAATAATAATGATAAATGACTTTATTTAAGAGTCGATAACACTTTGAGTACAAGACTCTTCTAACAAGTGGTTGACAGTAAAATGTACAATATATACAACATTAAGATTACAGCATCACATATGATATAAAAGTCACAAATATCACAGTAAACTAGCATAATCATGAAGGACTAAGATGTACATCAATACAACAAACGTAATGATAAAGGCATATAGTGAAGAGGTATATGAAACGGCTATAGAGTGACTAATAATATAATAAAAGGACTAAATTAGTGAGGTTTTGTAAGGGAAACAGGACAGATGTCTATATCAGTATACACACCCTCACTGTTAACTACAACTGAAGCTTGAGTTAAGAGTTTATTGTTACCATATGTAGGAGTATCTTGTTATAAATGTTTCACTTTATAAGTCGTTGATAGTGAAGTCCGTATAATCATCACCTAATGTAAAAATGTATCAGATTTAAACCAAAGCATCAAAGTTGTGTCACAGCAAATATCATCATACAGGCGAGGGTATTCTCACTTTTCACTTGTAACAATGTACCTGAGGTGTTTTATCAAAAATTTGTACAAGTTGTCTCCCCTTCCTGTAAAAGCATACTCATCAGAACTAATCAACAATTGTCTATTTATACTGAAGTAAAAACATGTTTTATTTGTCATTTTCAGAATTTAAACCAGAACCCCAGAACTCTGTTGCCAAAGTTTTACGGCTTATATTGCTACCAGGTAAGACAATTTAAATTCTGATGTTAATAATCAAAGTATTGTTCAGGAATTTTGACTTAATGCTTCAGATACAGAGAGTAGATCCTAATAGTGTTAATGGTTATATAAGTCTGTGAAGGAACCAAAGACTTGATTTTCCTGGCTATTTTGTTAAATCATCTTTTGACTGATATTTGGAAATAATCATGTGTTGCAATTGGGGTAAAAAAATAAAAAATAATAAATCTGTTTTTAAATGTGGCAGTTAATTTTTCCATCCACATGTTTTTTTATTTTAGATATATTTAAACATATGAAAAAAAGTATGTGCAGGGACAAATTGCTTAACAGATAGATACATGTGTACTGTGATAAACCTGTATTCTGATCTTGATCATTTCTCCATCTCATTGGTTTATTTGGCGTACATATTTCTTTTTAAGAATAACATTCTTTCTAATATTTTGTTTACTTTAAAATTTACTTGTTAGAGTTTTATAAAGAAGTTTATGTGTTAAATTTTATTTTCAGTGTGGTGGAAAAAATATCCGTTTTGTGGTTATGAACAATTTACTACCTTCATCTGTGAAACTCCATGAAAAATATGATCTTAAGGGAAGCACATACAAACGTAAGGCATCAAAACATGAACGAGGCAAGAGTAGTCCCACACTGAAGGATTTAGACTTCATAGACATTCATCCTGAGGGAATTCTTCTCGAAAAAGACAAACATGATGCACTGGTGAAAACTATACAGAGAGACTGCCGGGTATGGTATAGAGTTGTGTCCCCTTACACAGGTGCTCGTTGTAAAATTAATGTCTAACTGTTGTTACAATGTAATGTGATGATGATATAAATATTGATGTCCCTGAAATGGAAAATGTATCAGATTTGAAAGCTGAAAAGGAATCAAATTTAAGATGATTTGTTGATTTTTTCGTGAATGTTACATTAAGAATACTAAGTGACATTTAATTGAAATTTTTAATACCTAACACAGTCTGCCAGTATGTCTGTTTAAGATGTTACTTTTTATATACATTTTCTATTTTGAAACATTTTGCAAAAAAAAAAAAATTGTGAAGAAAAAACAACCCATTTTCAAAAAATAAAATACTATAAACATATTAAATTTTGTGTAATATAATTTTAGCACATTTTTACTTGTTTGCAAATAATTTGATGAATTAGCAAATCCATTAGACTTACTATATATATATACACGACATATATAGCTATGATGTCACAGCACAATACATCCCAGTGTGAAAAGCATTGAATGGTGATTACCACTATATATGTTTACAGTAGCTGTTTTATTCTGGTATATTTTGTTTCCAGGTGCTAGAGAGTTTTAAGATCATGGATTACAGTTTACTACTAGGGATATATAACTTAGACCAGGCAGCACGGGAAAAGGTAAGCTTTTAATTGAGTGGTTCTAGACCCTTTGGTTAGATCAGGCAGCACAAATAAAGGTAAGCTTTTGATGGAAGGGTCTTGGACCTCTCAGTTACATCATGTGGTGATGTCTTGAAAAAAAAACAAGTAATTTTGTCTGAAATTTCAAACAGATATTTTACAGCTTTTAACAATAGTGGAAAAAATGAAATACAACATTACAGTAGGAGGAATAGCTCTGCATTACAAAAAGAAAGAATTCACTTAGAAAGTACAAAATATATCAGAATCAGTTTTGGAATATATCAGTTAAAACCCTAAATAAATCTCTCAAGTGTGAGTAATTAAAAAATGCCAGTAAAAAGCAGTGACCATAGCTTGTGTCTGGATGTTGTCTACAATATCACAGGTGACCTAAAAACATCGTAACAATTGGACCAATCAGGTTGTTTCCTTGTAAATGTCCGTTAGGGTGCTGTATTATAACCTCTGCTGTTTAAGCTGGTACAACATGCAGAGATTTTGTTTTACATTCACTTGTTTGAGCAGAGGTAACTATTTTATGTCTTTCAGGCTAAAGAATCTGAGACAGTAAATCAAGAGACGACCACAAACTCGAGTGCAGGGACGTCCCAGGGTGGGGCGTCTTCTCTACCTCCAGATTCCCTGGCAGACTCTTACCCAGGTGCCACTACTTCTCCCCCTAAAACAGGTGTGAGGCTACTAACAATTAGATGCTTGTGTGGTTTCATACACATCCTTATTGTTGATACTTTTTCAGTAGTTTAAAGTTTAATGTTTTATATCAAAATTTCTTTCCCCTTTTTTTTTGTTTTTTTTTCATCTGTGAAGTGACATTAAACAAATGTTTCTGATATTATAACAGTATTCTTCAATGTGTTCAAATCAGAAGATCTGTTGTAGCAAATCAATAAAACAGAACTTCATAAAAATGTAAAGCTTAAAATGAAACAAGTATATCTTCTAGTAAATAAATCAAATAAATAAATATTGATCTTAATTTTTTTTACTGCTCATTTTTATGATGAATATGGAACCACACTTTACAATGTTAATTATCTTTAACAAATTTTCACATTTCACAAGGAGATCAAAAACAATTTGGGATCAAAGATTTCTATTAAACACAAATTTAAAACTTGTTAATCAACCTCTTCTGACCAGTCCTTTGTTTTTTGGAAGACAGAAAGGATTACTAGAAAGTTCATATGCATTTTTGTGGATTTAAAATTGTTTTGATCTCCTACTAAATCAAAATTTGTGTTTGGTATATTACACAATTTTGGAAAACATGACTTTCAAATTTTCTGAACATTTCTCATTTAGTTTCTTTCTCTGTAACTTGACAAAGTTGTAAAGAAAAATTTAAAAGTAACATTATGTGATTGAAAATATTTCCAAAACAAAAATTTGAAATGATTTCTTGTATAATAGGGGGAAGACATCAGAAAAAAAAATCAATATTATATTTAACACTTTGTACATAATTGTTGTACTTGAGAATCAGGTAATACTATATATTATGCAGTAGAGACTTGAGTCCAGATAGGTGAGTTACTGGTATTTCTTCATAAAGATTAAGCAGGTGCTTTTATCATTCAGAAAAGTAATTGTTTCCAAATAGTTAACATTCCAGTAACAGTAGACCTGTTTCACAAAATATCATTGATACACAGTTAATTTGGAGAAGTTGGTGCTATTGTAAATGGACCTGTCCTGAAAGTACTCTTGTTACTTACTAAAAACCATTGTTGCCTGATAATATGAAATCATTGGTACAGATATAATTGGATTTTAACTGATTAAATATTATTTTGCTTTCTGTAGTTATCGATACTGAGATATTACAGTGTAAGTTATAAGTATGATAAGTTTCTATTGCTAGGTAGATTTCTTATCCAACTTATGAATATATTTATGTTGTTGGTATATGAAACTAATCCTAGTAATGAGGGTTTATATCAAATTATATAAGGGTGTTGGTTTGTGAAACTGTTCCTAATAATTAGGTTTTATATCCAATTATATAAAGGTGTTGGTTTGTGAAACTAATCCTAGTAATGAGGGTTTATTTCAAATTATATAAAGGTGTTGGTTTGTGAAACTAATCCTAGTAATGAGGGTTTATATCAAATTATATAAGGGTGTTGGTTTGTGAAACTAATCCTAGTAATGAGGGTTTATATCAAATTATATAAAGGTGTTGGTTTGTGATAGTAATAGTAGTAATCTTGGTCTATATCAGATTTACAGTGTTTATATAACAAATGATGAGTTTATATGATCAGGTCCATAATAATTGAAACAGTATGGTGTTCATAAGAGAACTAAATATTACACAATATTTAACATTAATCTCTCCTTGTCATTGAGAGAAGTGTGTGATGGGTCTTACTACGAGAGGAAAACCGAAGTATCTAGGGAAAATTCATGTGATTTGGCAGGTAACCTTATACCTTTCACATCTGTTCTGGCAAATGAACCCCAGGTACCTTGGTGAAAGACAGGAGCATTATCAGTGCACCACCTGACCTTCTCATTCTGTGATATCTTACAGTGTTACTACATTAGGACTGTTGTATGTGTACAGTCATCAGATTATCTGATATTACTAAATATCATGATATTTTGTTTATAACAACCATCAGGTTGATTATAAATATGATATTTTGGTGCTGGAAACTAAAACGATCATGTTCTGTAATATATAGTTTGTGTCTCCTGCAGAGCTGACGAACACTTAGGGATTACTTTGTCGGCAGCGTCCGTATGAATGTTTTCCAGACTTTTTTCAGTTATGCTTTGAGTTATTGAAATCAAATTTGGTGTAAGGCTTGTTTTTGAAGGGTACAGATTTAGTTCGATTCCTGGCTGTCTGTAACCCTTCTTGGCAGAGTTATGCCCCTTTGAACTCAGAAAAATTCTCTGGGAATATTGTTTTCTGGACTTTCTTTGGTTATGCATTGAGTTATAGAAATGAAATTTGGTATACAGCTTCTTGTTGGAAAGGTACAGATTAGTTTTGATTCTTGTCTGTGTGTGACCCTTCTTTGCAGAGTTACGCCTCTTCGAAAATTCTTTGAGAATATGTTTTTTTGTACTTTTCTTGATTATGCTTAGAGTTTTTGAAATGAAATATGAGAAATGGATTTATGGTCGAACATTACAGATAAGGTTTGATTCACGGCTTTCTTGGCAGAGTTATGCCCCATTGAACTTGGAAAATTTTCTTGGTTATGCTTCGAGTTATCAAAATGCAATTTTGTATATGAGTTCGTGGTCAAAGTTACGCACTGAGTTCGTTTCTTGGCAGTCTGTAACCCTTCTTGGCAGTGATATGTCCCTTTGAACTTGGAAAATTTCTCATGAATATTGCTTTGCGCAGTTTTCCCTTTATGCTTCGAGTTATAGAAACGAAATTTGGTATTACAACTTTATGGTTGAATGTTGCACATACAGTTTGATTTCTGGGTGACCGTGACACATTATGCAGGCGACACATACAGTTTTGAGGAACTCTTGTATTTGTCATTTTATTACTAGCTATGCCTTTCTTTACTCTCTGTATAAGAGTCCATTTTTTCAAAAGTGTAGTATACCTTGTACCACAGATCAGACAAACCTTGGTTGTGTTCACTGTTTAACACTTCAGATCAGACAAACCTTGGTTGTGTTCACTGTTTAACACCACAGATCAGACAAACCTTGGTTGTGTTCACTGTTTAACATTTCAGATCAGACAAACCTTGGTTGTGTTCACTGTTTAACACTTCAGATCAGACAAACCTTGGTTGTGTTCACTGTTTAACACCACAAATCTGACAAACCTTGGTTGTGTTCACTGTTTAATACCACAAATCTGACAAACCTTGGTTGTGTTCACTGTTTAATACCACAGATCAGACAAACCTTGGTTGTGTTCACTGTTTAACACCACAAATCTGACAAACCTTGGTTGTGTTCACTGTTTAACACCACAAATCTGACAAACCTTGGTTGTGTTCATGGTTTAACACTACAGATCAGTCAAACCTTGGTTGTGTTCACTGTTTAACACTTCAGATCAGACAAACCTTGGTTGTTTCCACTGTTTAACACCACAAATCTGACAAACCTTGGTTGTGTTCACTGTTTAACACCACAAATCTGACAAACCTTGGTTGTGTTCACTGTTTAACACCACAGATCAGACAAACCTTGGTTGTTTTCACTGTTTAACACCACAGATCAGACAAACCTTGGTTGTTTTCTCTGTGTAACACCACAGATCAGACAAACCTTGGTTGTTTTTTCTGTGTAACAGTATAGTAATTCTGGAAACTGTTTGTGAGTCACTGTTGTTGTTTAACACGCCTGTTGAGAGGACTAAATATTAGACTGATATATACAAGTGACTGCTTTGTCATGACTTATCATAAGTGAGATTTTCAGGTGTTATTAAGTTAAATTTCCTTTTTATATTTTTTTTTTATTTTCATTTTTATCTGGAATGTTGGAACTTATCGGGTTATAATTTCAATTTTGTAATTTTTGGTAGACCTTGTTGGTAAATCCTACACATATCATTATAGTCATTATATCACTAATTTTATCAGCAATTTGTAAGTCACCTTATAGACACAGGTCACTCTATATATCCTTTATACTTACATTTTCTGTATCACATTTAGAAGCTATACAATATTATGCATATAGAAATATATATATCTTTATCAAGCTTAGCTAGAATGGGGATGGTTGATTGGTGTCTATTTGCTTTGCTTCTTTGTAAGCTTCTTCAAACTGGCTCCAGTTTCTAAAAATGCAGTGTTTAATATTAAGTATCAGATATATTTCATGTGTGATATATTTCAATCAGAGTTCTCTGTAAAGTACCTACAATGACTAGTATGTATGTAAACTATTGTCAGACCACTACTTCTTAACAATTCATGAAATTCACATTACTTGAATATTTTTTTCTTCATTGAAACTAGATGTCTAATGTACATGTTTAAGGAAAATAAAGAAAAAATTATAGTTTTTTAAAGTATTGCATTTTCCATTGAAGAATTTTTTTTTCTTTATGTAATTTAAAAAATAAAAACATTTTATTTTCATTATGTCTTCTTCAGTTATCTCTAAATGACTTAGAAATTAAACTTTTTTTTCCCGTTACGACAGGTTCTTCGCTGGCGAGGACTAAATCTATGAAAACCCGATTAGCCAATTATTCTACAGCCATTGAAGCCATCCAGGCTTCACGAGGGTATGAGGATGACGAAGACGAGGATGAAGACACTCCGTTAGTAACAATGCAAATTCTCTTGCCTGCCAAATTGATAGAAAGAAATGTTACAAGCCCTTTCCATATACTGTGCTTGAGTTTAAGGATTATGTATTTTATGACAATTATGAATCAAAACATGTTCTTCAATGAAAGTGTAAGGTTATGTTGGTTCTTCCATATTAAATTGATGTTGTTTTTGTCAGGAAATTATACCAAATTTACAAGGGGGAAATTTTTAAAAATTGTTTAAGCCATTTTGAAATACTGATACAGTCAAACTTTGATGTTTGGAAGTTAAAGGGACTAGCAAAAATATTTGATACATCAAGACTTCATATCATTCTTGGTTTATTTCTATATTCATAACTATAGTTGATGACAGTATTTCCCTCTGAACGATCCCAATAAATACTTAAACACAAGTTTTAATGAAAAGATGCATTTTTAATCATTTTTATTTTCATTTATGAAAATAACTAAACTTTAGATAGAAATCAACGAGAAATCAGCAATGCTTGATTACGTTTACATTTGTGTCTTCATGTTGCACTGTATATGTATTTTATGGATCAATTTCAATTGAAAGGACACTCAGCATTAAAGTGGCCTTCATGTGTTATAGTATTTGTTTTAAGACCGAGACATAAACATTACAGACACTAATGAATTTAAAAGAAAGCACCTTAATATTGTAATGTTTTCTGTCCAGAAACAACAGCACTAACATTACACATCTTAGGTAATAAAAATTACAATTGTGTTTGCCTATGTTTCAACAAGGATTTGTCTAAATTAATAATATGTGAATCCATGATTGACAGATAAATCACAGTGTTTCTCATACTTTATGCTTAAAACTGAAAAATGATGCTTTGGAAATGAGTGAAATCATCGTACAAATTAATAGGATTTCCTCCAGTTGTTTTCAAAATTCTTTAAATTAGACCCAATTAAATGCCATTACCATAATGGCAGTGGTAAAAATCACATGATGTCTGATTATGTTTGATTAAATATAATGGCTTGTAAGTAAGCAATTAAACTTTAATCGGTGTCCAGTTATTAATTAACCTCGGAACACAGAACCAATAACTGCGCGCTGTCATAATCCCATTGTCAAGTTTAATTCTTTTAATCATGGAAGTTTGATCCATAGAAATTTGACTGTATGTAAACTTTGTACAAAAAGATATTTGGAAGATAAATTTAATATGTTGAAATTCAACAAAATCTGCATGTAACAAGTTTCTGCACACTCCATCTTTTAAGTAATTTATTGATGTAGAAAATTTTATGGTTGTCTATTTATAGCTATTTTCTTTTTCAGGCCTGGTGGTATACCAGCTAAAAATGCCAAAGGGGAGCGACTCTTGATGTACATGGGTGTTATAGATGTTTTACAGAGTTATAGATTTAAAAAGAAGTTCGAACATACTATGAAATCCATAGTTATAGATGGGGTGAGTATTTCAACAAAGAATTAAGCGAATAAAAAGATTTAAAGAAGTATTGACACGCTGAAAATCAATTGTCATAGACAGGGTGAGGTTATAGCAAGTAAATCAATGATTCATATTATTTGAAGAGGTTTGAGCACAATATGAAATCTGTAGTTACCGACAGGATAGGTATTCCAATGAAATGATGATAGGAATGCATAATACTCTTAACTATTGGTGATTACTAATGATGAGGTTGCTGTGAAATGATAATGATGAATTTGTTTTTTACAGGACACAATATCAGTACATCGCCCTAGCTACTATTCCCAAAGATTCCAGAGCTTTTTTGAAAAACGTGTATTTAGAAAACTACAGACACGTAAGTTTTTCATTTTAAATTTTATATACCATGTGTGTGATAGGTTATGTGTTTTTGGTTATGTCATTTTCAGAATTAATATGTCCGAATGTCAGTTAGAGTTCAATTAACCATACATGCTTTTCGTGTAAACTTGCTGACCATTGTAGTTATAGCTTTTCTTGTTCACAAAGTTTGTAGTTGTTTTAGATGTTGTTAACAGTGGTGACTTCTCCATTGTCATATTATATCTGTTGAGTTTAGTTTTTAACTGATTTCTTTGATTGGCTTTAGATTGACAAGCTTTTGAATTATTTTTTACGTTTTAAATATTCTGATAAAGCATTTCTTTACTTTCATATTATGTTTGAAGAATGAGTTTTTGAATGATTTGTAGTGATGCTGATTTAAACATACTTCTTGTTTATTTGTTTATGTACACAACTGTTTATTTATTCTAGCTTTAGATAATGGATATCTCTATTTTTGCCTCTTGCCTGTTGCACAAGTTATCTTGTGTTTTCTAATTGAGAGTTGTTTCCCTTGTGCAGAAATCTTCTTTCAACTTTTTCTCGGTAACTTTGTTGTCTTAGGCTGTTGTCAGAAACAACATTTTCTACATCCTTTCATGTTAGTCATTAGTAAAGTTCAAAGTATTACAGTATTTTATTGTTCTTTACCGATTATTAACATTCACATATACCACTGTCTGATACTTTGTTGATGTTGTTGGTAAGATCTGATACTTAATCCATGGACTTTTGTATGTTTTCGGGTAAAGATAATTTAAAATTCAGTGGTCTCTTTTAAAGCAGTCTGTACATACCTTCCAATGCCAGTATTTAACATATGGGCCTTGTAAAAAAATGAGGATTATAAAATTTATAACTTTGTGGTAAAAGAAAAAGACACATTTAGTTAGAACTCTATTTAAAGATGCTGGAACATGGCCTCCCATCATAGCACAACTGAAACAATATTAACACAAGAATTTTTTGATACTTGTAAATATTTCAAATATAAAAATGTTTCAAAAATTAGAACTAAACAAAAGTATAATGGCTGGAGTTTCTACAGCTATCTTCATCACATACTGCACCTGCACTTTATTTTTGGATTTTGTTCAAAAGAACAACAAAATAACAACAGAAGAGCCGAATAATAACAAATTAAACTTCCCAGAAATAAATTGCATCATATGGCAGTTTTCTTGTGGGAGTTATCTCCCTTCTGATCTGGTCTGATCAAAGTACCTATGTTATCTTTATCCTGTGAAACTTTTTAGAAGTATTATGCATTTGAATTTCTATTTTTCTTTCTTTTTTTTTTCTTTAGGGAGGGGAAGGGGGATCTTTCTTTCACAGAATCATAAGCTAAATCGCCTTTGTTTAGATTACCTATGTGTATTTGTAATATCACACACCAAGGTTATTAACTACATGATTATATAGAAATCATCTTATTAATTGTAAGAAAATCGATTTAATATCAGGATTTAAAAAAAAAAAATTTAATTCAATTTGAAATGAATATCAACAATTGTCAAACTACCTATACGTAATAATAGCTTGGACGAACTTTTTAAAAAGGGAGATTTCAAGTTGTGTTTATAGGGGAGAGAAGGTTAAGTTTCTTCTTATTTGTTGTTCTTTCTATTTTGTGCTTTGCTAATATCAGTGGATCCGCCAAGAGGCACACAGCGATTCCGCAAAATTGTCAAACTAGGTAACTTTGGTAACGCTTTTGTCATCATAGTAATCAGTTTGTTACTAGCTACTGTTTCCTTTTATTTGCTCTGGGTTTGTTTGGAATTTTTTTGCTATTGTTTTTCAGTTTGCTATTGCTGCAGTCCTAAGTTTTATACAAAGTCTGGCACCACAATCACACCTGGCTTTTCAGTGATGTGTATTTCTGTCTTATTTTAGTCTGTATGAACATGATATGAGCTGAAGAATAAAGTTTCATAAAGATTTGACATATTTTGGAAATTGTTTCAAATTATAGGATTGAAATTGAAATAAAGAAAATAGATATAACAAAGCTGTGTAGTTTTATCTGGTAAAATTGTCATACTTATAAGTGAAATTTTATCATAAAATCACCCAGCCATGATTAGTACTGAAGAATGTATGAACTCTTATCTGATGTAGATTTATTTTCCCTAATTACCATTTTTCCAAAGAGAGTTATGTACCCTTAGTGTAATTAGTTTGGAGAGAGTTATGTACCCTTGTATGATATGTCAAGAAATGGTAAATTAACCTTAGTATCCTGAGTGAGGTCAGAGGAATGAATCATTAGTACTGTTAATTTGGACAGACTTATGAACTGGTAGTACTATTAGTAATGACAGGGTTAGATAGATGCTTCATACCATTAGTCCAGCATAGTTACCTACCCTGATTTAGTACAGAGCTATGCACTTATAATGTAGATAGTCTTAATTATGCACCCGTAGTTAGATCTTAGATGTGTGAGAACATAAGAGTGATGTGCCCCTAGATGTTAGAGTTACACTGATCAAGTGCAGATTAATATTGTTGTACATGTTTGTGGATCATTTTTTCTTCTTCAAATGAAAATCTGTTTTAAAAAGTTACAAAATACAAGGTATGTCATCCTGTAGGTGTAAAAATAAACAAGTAAACAACTTCTGAATAATCAAGAGTCCTTGATAAGGGGCTATCAAGTTTACATCAATGACTTCAGAGGTGTAAAAATCCACTAGCCTGACTCCCGAGTTATCAGTTTGGGCTAGTGGAAATTACAGGTCCACTAGCCTTAGGCTTTCTGTAGACTATTTTTCTCAGCTTACGCTTAAGAATTTATAATAGGTTCCAATGATAACATCCAAAGGCTATAACATAGATTTTCTAGCTTTATTCTCTTTTTTCATTATCTAAAACAATGTTATCAGATATTTTGTTTTGGATACTCTGACTAGCAATATCTTCCCTGCTTGGTAAAAGTTTTCTATGTTCAAAACAAAAACCATTCAGAATGTTATACTTTTCATCATACAGTCATCATTAGTTATCAAATTGATACTCTTTATTTGATAAAATAAATTTGAGCTAAAGGTCATCAATCAAAAGTAGGTAAGAAATTAGCAGAGACCGCCATGTTTGTTAGCCCACCATCATCAGATGGTTGGCTATTCATATCGCCCTACATCCATCCATCTGTCCATCCATTTGTCTGTCCATAAACAATTTCTTGAGAAGTACTGGATAGATCTTTCTCAAATTTCATATGTAGGTTCCCTTCAGTCCCTAGTTGTGCCCATTTCATTTTGGAACTGATCAGAAAAATATAATGGCTGACAGATGGATATCATGGATTTCAACTCTGCAAGTTATTGCTTTTTCTTGAGAACTACTGTATAAATCTTTCTCTAATTTCACATATAAGTTCCTTTTGTTCCCTAGTTGTGCCCATCTAATTTTGGGACTGATCAGATATACAAAATGGCTGACAGATGGCCATCTTGGATTTTGACTTTGAAAGTTTGTTATAGCTTTTTCTTGTGAACTACAACATAGATCTATCACAAATTTCATGTGTATGCTTTCCTTGATTCCTAGCTGTGCCTGTTTGAGTTTGGAACTGACCAGAAAACAAATCGGCCGACAGGAAGCCATCTTGGATTTTGCCTAGTAAAAGTTGTTATTGCTATTTCTGAAGAAGCACTGAATGAATGTCTGAAATTTAATATGTATGTTACCTTTGGTCTCTCCTTGTGCTTGTTTGAGTTTGGGACTGACCAGAAAACAAATCGGCCGACAGGAAACCATCTTGGATTTTGCCTAGTAAAAGTTGTTATTGCTATTTCTGAAGGACCACTGAATGAATGTCTCAAATTTCATATGTATGTTACCTTTGGTCTCCCCTTGTGCTTGTTTGATTTTGGGACTGATGAGAAGAAACCAAATGGCTTCCAGGTGGCCATTTTGGATTTGGCAGGTAAAGATTCTCATCGCTATTTCTGCAAAGGAATGTTCAAATGTCATATCATTAAAAACAAAAACAGTGAAGAGAAAAGAAGGAAACAGATATTTCAAAGAACATATAAAGCTCAAACAATGGTAGGCATCAAGATCCCTCTGGGATCTCTTGTTAATCATATGGATACATTTAAGTGTTGTTTTCTTATGAGGTTTTCAAATTAATTTTTACTTATTTTATATTTTTACATACCCAGTTGTCGCAAAAATATCTAGGGCTAAGAGAATAGTGCTTTAGGCTAGTGGATTTTAGCAGTCTTTTAGGCTTGGTTAATGGATTGAAACTAAAAATCACACCCCTGGACCCCTTTTTGATGACACAAGGGTCAAATGGTCAAAAAAAAAAAAGAAACCTTAAATCAATGACCTATTTAATTCACAAACACCATATTCAATTTAGCTTCACAGGAAACTGATCTTGTGAAGTTTTTCTAATTTTGTCTCTATCAATAAACACTTTTTTTCTGTCAGGTTGAAAGTAAATTTCAACATCTTGAGATCATTACTACTAGTTTGTTGAATATTTTTCCTTTTCTCATGTTTTGATATGACAAGTTAATATTCTGGTCAGAATTAGGGATGGGGTATATGTCACTGGCTGCACTGCTAAAGCTATATGTGTTGTGCTTTTACTATGTTGCTATGTAGTTCTGAGTGGTGTAAATGCTGATATATGTTATGTTGGCTAACTTCTGTATATTTGTACAAGTTGTCTCCCTTCTAAACACTTCATCTGAAAAATTTACAGAAAGTTTAAATAAAAAGTGCTGATATTATTACATTGGAATAAGTGTCAGTTTTTATACAGATCCTATCTAAATACAACTTGAAAATATACCGATATAGTATTGGTAAGGTTATTATCTGTCCACTGACATCCCCAGTATTGAGTCATGGTTTTTCATAGGTTTTGATTTGTTCAGTATTACCAAATTATATCTTTGTCCTTCTGATATAAAAAAAAATGTCACTTAAGTTTATAAGGCAAATTAGCTTGGAAGTGTTATTAAAACAAAGATAGACCTAGTGATTTAAAAGACCCAGGAACTGTAAATGATAGGTGAATAGAGAGACAGACTAGTTAAATATGACATCCTTGTTAGCACAGAGTCAGACTATTTAAATATGACATCCTTGTTTAATGGAGAGCCAGACTAGTTAAATATGACATCCTTGTTTAATGGAGAGCCAGACTAGTTAAATATGACATCCTAGTTTAATGGAGAGCCAGACTAGTTAAATATGACATCCTTGTTTAATGGAGAGCCAGGCTAGTCAGACTAGTTAAATATGACATCCTTGTTTAATGGAGAGCCAGACTATTTAAATATGACATCCTAGTATAATGGAGAGTCAGACTAGTTAAATATGACATCCTTGTTTAATGGAGAGCCAGACTAGTTAAATATGACATCCTAGTTTAATGGAGAGCCAGACTAGTTAAATATGACATCCTAGTTTAATGGAGAGTCAGACTAGTTAAATATGACATCCTTGTTTAATGGAGAGCCAGACTAGTTAAATATGACATCCTAGTTTAATGGAGAGTCAGACTAGTTAAATATGACATCCTAGTTTAATGGAGAGTCAGACTAGTTAAATATGACATCCTAGTTTAATGGAGAGTCAGATTAGTTTAATATGACATCCTAGTTTAATGGAGAGTCAGACTAGTTAAATATGACATCCTTGTTTAATGGAGAGCCAGACTAGTTAAATATGACATCCTTGTTTAATGGAGAGCCAGGCTAGTAAACATGACATCCTGGTTAGACACAGAGTCAGACTTGTTAGATATGACATCCTTGTTTAACGGAGAGCCAGACTAGTTAAATATGACATCCTAGTTTAATGGAGAGCCAGACTAGTTAAATATGACATCCTTGTTTAATGGAGAGTCAGACTAGTTAAATATGACATCCTAGTTTAATGGAGAGTCAGACTAGTTAAATATGACATCCTTGTTTAATGGAGAGTCAGACTAGTTAAATATGACATCCTTGTTTAATGGAGAGCCAGACTAGTTAAATATGACATCCTTGTTTAATGGAGAGTCAGACTAGTTAAATATGACATCCTAGTTTAATGGAGAGCCAGACTAGTTAAATATGACATCCTGGTTAGCACAGAGTCAGACTATTTAAATATGACATCCTTGTTTAATGGAGAGCCAGACTAGTTAAATATGACATCCTTGTTTAATGGAGAGCCAGACTAGTTAAATATGACATCCTTGTTTAGTTTAATGGAGAGAGCCAGACTAGTTAAATATGACATCCTAGTTTAATGGAGAATCAGACTAGTTAAATATGACATCCTAGTTTAATGGAGAGCCAGACTAGTTTAATATGACGTCCTAGTTTAATGGAGAGCCAGGCTAGTTAAATATGACATCCTAGTTTAATGGAAAGCCAGACTAGTTAAATATGACATCCTGTTTTAACAGAGAGCCAGACTAGTTAAATATGACGTCCTAGTTTAATGTAGTGGGAAACTAATTAAATGTGACATCCTTGTTTAATGGAGACATACTAGTCAACATGATGTTCTACATTTGATCTACCATGGATGTTATTTCTGTTGTACACTAGATTCTCTTTATCAATGTTACTGTGTTTTTATATATAGTTACAAATATAATCATTGATGTGTTTGATTCACAGTCGTTTAGCTGACATCTTTTGTAGTTTGGTCTTTCTGATTACATAGTAATGTTGCCTTTGGCTGATCAAGGACTAATTCTTTTTAATAGAACTTTATCATCAAAACATTTTTTTCACAAATTATCCAAAGTTTGCAGAAAAGATAATGTGATATTATATATTAAATCTCGTTTTAGTGAGGAGACAGAGATTATACTTAATGAGCCAGGATCTTACAACATGGATACTAGTGTAGAAATCTAGACAGGAAGTAAATGAAAGTCTATCTGGATTATTGGATTATTATATCAAACTTAGGGTTTTTTGTGTGCTGAACTGGTTTTTTATTCATTTCTGATTTTTATTCATAAAATCATTTTCCCTTAGCTTTTTTTCAAGGTTTTTTACTGACATTCTAAAATCTTCTTTCCTGTGGAAATGTCACCCATTTCCCCCTGCCCCTTCCCCTCCAACTACTTCCCCAAACCCCATTTTTTTTTTAAAATAGGTTGATTTTTCTCTACCCTAAAGTCATCCCCTTTTTCATATGAAACTCAGTCTTGACTCTTGGTGCTCAGCTGTCCAGCTTATCACTACACTGACACAGTGAATTTTTCCTCCCCTAAAATCATCCCATAATCATGTCAAAGTCCTCCAGGACCTTACTCTGCTGTGTGGATGACCAGCTTATCACTACACTGACTTCCTCATATCAAACTCATTCTTGAGCTGGGCTGTCTAGCTTATTACTACAGTGAATCAAGGGAAGTAACTCTTAATAGATCACAAAGCCCAAAGTCTGTTTTCCCTTCATCTGAATATCCCTTCCCGAAATGCAGACGTTTCCGTGGATATGCTTTTCCTTCTTGATGGGATTTTACTGCTTTGTCAGGTTGAAATGATCATACTGTATATGAACATAAAACCCATGCAACGATATATAAGTAAGTTTGATTATTGCTAACGAATATAAAGAGTTGAAATTCCATTTAATTGTCTTGTTTTATTTCCACAGCCTTGAAACATTCTCCATCAAAAAGAAAACCAGGAGGGCCTAAAAAGTCATCTGGTCACTCCGAGTCAGAGGGGGTTACAGAAGTTCCAAGGAGAACTGGAACGACAGAACGGTCCCATAGGACTATTAGTTTTACAGAGGACAAAACACCCATTCCAGGTTTGTTCTGAACTAAAATGTATCTGAGCCAAAGTGCAAAGTCAGCTTTTTTTTAATCTATATTCTAGCATTTCCAAGAATTTGATTTAAAGTGAAAACAATTTGATGAGTTATAGCAATCCATTTTATTGATAGACGTTGTTGGTATGTTAACATATTTACGTTTCACCTTGGTGATCTGGGTTCTCTTCCCCAATCAGAGATGAAATGGTATGGAGTCATCTTCAGGACCATGTGGGTTTCCTCATCTTTCATACACTCCAACAAATGGATTTTAATGACACTAGATTGTGTTTCAACATAAAAGTTGTTTCAGTAAATTTGGCTTCACTTCATTTTCTCCAAACAAAAAAATGTTCTTTCATTTCAGGCACAACTGGGGGCCGACCAGATCTGCTGCCAGAGAATTCCACACCACCTCCAACATTTGACGAGGCGGTGGGTTCTCTGACACCAAAAAGAGGCCGCAGTGGAACAGACATATCGCATTCTCCTAAATCTGTATCTCCCTCAGGGGAGAGTATTAGCGAGGGTAGGAGGTAGGTAATCATAGCAGTATACTGGTCAATGGAACTGGTAGACGATCGAGAAACTGAATTATGTCATAATTGGTGTCGTATCTGTTAAGTCCAATCAAAATGACCCGTCCTGTGTGCCTTTCACTATCATTCCTCACTTTTCAATGGTGTTACTTCATTTTTGATTGGCTAGTTGGTTGCTATGTGACAACTTTGCTAAGCATGAATGGATTTCAGTCAAACTTAGTTTCCTATCTTGTTATCTTCAGCTTCGTTAATTGACATTAATGATTCATTGTATATAATCTTCATTAATTAGGTTCTTCAGTAAATTATAGATCCATTTTACCATCATGTAGCCAGATTTTAACTGTCTTATGAATTAGCCATTAGAAGTTAGGGATACGTAAACACTGTACCAACAGTTTCCTTGTTACATATCACATGCTTGACTCTGGTTTTTCATTATGGTAGAAATATATGACATAACATAATGTTGTGGTCAGATACTGTTAAATAAATGTTGTAAGGACTGTCATTTGTTCAATTATTGACGTGACAAAAACAAATACAGAGCAAAAATAAAGATGCCGGAAATTGTGAAGTGGTCAGTGTTTTAGTGGTCAGTATATTAGTGGTGGTCAGTATATTAGTGGTCAGTATATTAGTGGTGGTCAGTATATTAGTGGTCAGTATATTAGTGGTGGTCAGTATATTAGTGGTCAGTATATTAGTGGTGGTCAGTATATTAGTGGTCAGTATATTAGTGGTGGTCAGTATATTAGTGGTGGTCAGTATATTAGTGGTGGTCAGTATATTAGTGGTCAGTATATTAGTGGTGGTCAGTATATTAGTGGTGGTCAGTATATTAGTGGTCAGTATATTAGTGGTGGTCAGTATATTAGTGGTGGTCAGTATATTAGTGGTCACTATATTAGTGGTCAGTATATTAGTGGTCAGTATATTAGTGGTGGTCAGTATATTAGTGGTGGTCAGTATATTAGTGGTCAGTATATTAGTGGTGGTCAGTATATTAGTGGTCAGTATATTAGTGGTGGTCAGTATATTAGTGGTCAGTGTTTTAGTGGTCAGTATATTAGTGGTGGTCCTCTATATGTAATTACAGACCTGAAGTCCAGGTGAGTGGAACATTCCAAGTGACCTACCAGGAGTCTAGCACTTCATTATCTCACACCTCCCCCGTGATGCGGACATCCCCACCCCTCAGTATCTCAGAGTCGACGCCCACACATACAGATTACACAGAGGGAACACCAAGCTACACGCCATCTAGTCCAAGCTGTTATAGTGACATAGGTAAGAGCTTTGTTTCATGATACAGAGAGAGGACAAAGAGAAAGAGAGATGGAGAGAACGAGGAGAGAATGAGGAGAGAGAAAGGGATCAAAAGAATTAATGAGAGAGCAGGGATTGAGAAAATGAGAGCAAGAGATACACATAGAGACAGGGACAATGAAATTTTCAGTCTTGAGACATATATTTTATGACCGATACAATCATTTATTTACATTATTAACATGTGACAGGCCATATTAGTGACAGAATGATAAGTTGATATATCCTTTTTATGTTCCTGCCATATTAGGATTTTGGGCATATAGTATTACCCTTGGTCGTGGTTCCATCATGTAACATTTCTGTTCATTTACTCTTTAGTGGATACAAATATAGAAGTGTGATTTGGTGTGCAGATGTGTTATATCAGTATGAAGGTTCTGATTGGTTGTCATGGTCAATCAACAGACGTAAAAGTGTCCATAGTTCTTGGTGGGGACATTTGTGTTTCTCGGATACATTTAGTTAATGTACTGTATGTTGTTTATTTACCTTGTATTGTTCATCGTTGCCTCATACTTCAAATAGCTGTAAAAAAGACATCTAAATCGTACTTTTGTCACAGATCAAGCTTTCCAGGCAGAACTAGACAAAGATGTACAGGCGTCACCTGCGTCTCTGTCTCCAGCAAGGTCAAAGGTCACTGTGATCACAACCAGCAGTACAGAGACGTCTTATACAAGTGCACTCGAAAACCCATACAGTAGCGACAGTGAACGGGGACCAACAAACTCGGACAGTAACTATGTTGATAGTGCGAGAGTTTCACCTGACAAGGCAGGTCGTTACAGTAAACCACAACAAGGTCACATATCAACAACAGCAGTGTCTAATTATAATGATATTCAAAGCAATTCCACATGGAATAGTGAGGAAGGAGAAAAGTCAAAGGCTAAAGGTCAAGGGTCACCGAGATCAGAGGATTTGGAGGTCAAGGAATCCGAGACGGTATGTATATTTGATTTTTTTCAAAAATTCATGTGTTTTATTAATTTGAGTGGTTTTCTTATGCTCCCCAAAACTGCATATAGTCGCCGCCTTGTTTTCTTTCATTTGGAGATTGATTGGTTTTAATTGTGACTTTTTGGGATTTACATTTTTAGTCTTTCTTAAAATGATCTTTCAAGTTATTTATTTCATCACTGTATCATTTTATCTCAACTTGAATGGTGACTGAAGTCAGATTTTAACAATCAAACAAGCAGCAACTATCTTATCATTTCTGAATAAAATTCCTGGTTTGTTTTGAATTACTTTAAGTAATTCCAAGCCAAGATGAATATCATAGTTTTAAAAAATGCAGAAAATCTTTGTATTTTTTAAATTTGATTGTTTCTTCACTTGTTTTTAGACTGCATGTGAAACTTTGAGATGTGTGGCTTTTCATTAGTCAGATGGTGGGCTATTTAACAGCTGGATTTAATTGGAGCTGAAAATTTATCAAATTGTTTTGTGACTAAAACAACAGATTTTGTTTAGATTTTACTTGGCATGTAGTTTGATTTTAGGAGCATTTTGGTTCCCATTCGATATGAGTTTATGTGTTTGTATATGGCATGAAAAGATCAGCTTACGGTGAAAGTTTAGAGATTTAAAAAATTATAATCTGTATACAACTGCCTTACAAACTAATCCATTGAATTGTTCAATATTATCATTGAAACAAAATAAAGAATATGTCGTAGAACAACAGACCGTCAAATCAGACTAGAAAAATGAAACACAGACTTTGTAGATCGGAGAAACCATCACAACTGCTAACTTTACCAGGAAAAATCAGTATATTGGAAAAACATTTTCAACAAGTGTTTTAGAAAAAGATCTTGGACTTTTTTTTTTTTTTTTTTTCATTAAAATAGTATTCATGCATTGATTTAGATTTTATATTATGATATATTATAATTTTTAATTTCTTTTTCTCGGAAAATTTTTGTTATATTCTGTGCGAAGATTGATTCAAGAGACTGATATGTAGTATGCACCTCACAAACACGACCTGCACTTGTGTCAATTCCACACGGCAATTACAACTGCAAACTGTTCTTGTAAATGTTATAGTCAGACATCGCAGGGATGAGGTGGCTTTTCTCTTTTGTCAGTATTGCTGGAATAAGGTTGCTAGTATCGTCAGCTGAAACAATAGGGAAATAGTTTTCATCTGAGGAACTTGGGAGCTAATAGAAGCTATCAGATGTTTGAAGGATATCAAATACTAGCTGCCAGTATTGCATGGATTTTCTTTCTTCAGAAATAAAAATGTTTTAACACAGATGTATGATAAGTAACCAGAATAAGTTGATATCATCTGCTTCCTATGTCTGAACTGTACCATCAACTTGCCCAACAGAAAACAGTTACACCTGTGAGCCCCAAACAAAGAAGAGTTCACTTTCAGTCTGAGGCCATTGAAGCATCAGATGATATAGTCTCTGAACCAGAGGCTCCTGGTTGGCAAGAGGTGCGTACACATCCTACTGAGCATGCCCAAGCTATGTTACTGTGGAGACAGAGTGGTTACCATGGCTTCAAAAATCATGTGACTAACTCGTCTTCCCACATGATGTTGTTTTATGCTCTGCATCAGATGTTTTGGATACTTTGTAATTCCCACTCTTTGACTCGAGTGTGGATCTCTTTCTATCAAATTTGAAGCCTCTCTTAAGGCCTGACTTTCGCGCATGTCTGTTCTGTTGTCATGGATACTAGGTAATGTGTACAAGATGTTATATATACATCCTGTGTGTGGAATGTGGTATTGTTGTGTACATCTATATTTGGATTGTAAACAATCAACATATGGTTGTTTGTTGTCCTACAGTGGTGCTGTGCATTGTATGTTGTCATGGATACGTGTGTAACTATATGTGATATATCTCATCATACATATGAGTTAGTAAATACAACACCGATTTTATGAAGAAAATCTATCTTTGTATGTAATCTTGAAATATTCATCTCACCTGCTGTATCATGGCTCCTGATAACTTCATTGCTTGATATACAATTGATTATGATATTTCTTATATCAGCTCATTATTAAGGCTTTAATTCGATTTTCCATTGGTCATGTTGTGTGGCCATGGATAGACTTCATAGCAACCTATATTTGGTCCGAGTATGTCTTGTCATAGTGTGACCTCCTTTCTGTCCAGGCATATCTTGTCATGGATGATCATCATGGTGACCTATTTTCAGTCTGGGCATGTCTTGTTATAATCTTTATTGTAACCTACTATCGGTCTTGTTGTCATGGATACTCTACATGGTGACCTAGTTTTGGTCTGGGCATGTTGTTTTTATGGATACTTAAGTCATTGTGGCCTAATTATGGTCATGGCATGTCTCGTTGTCAAGGTTATCACTTATTTATAAAGTTGAACAATTTGTTTTTACAGGTAATTATTTGCTGTGATATAGAACAGGTTGAAGTGATAGAAAGATTCTGAGTCCAGGTTTACCCTGGATTTATGTTGTCTTAAATTAACAGGAGATATCCATTAGAAGTCCCTCATCAGTGTGCTATACTTTAGTTACACTGTGTATCTATTTCCCTTAACGTTTTAGGCTCATGATTTTCCCCATCAAGGTAGTTTACTTGCTTCCATCAATTTTACAGATTTTAATTACACTGAATCTTCCTCTTAATCATGATGATGAAGTAGTCACTAATTTCTTAAGTAGCTTTTATCTTCTATTTGGTGACAGATGAGGATCTATAGGCAGGGCTTAAATGGTAAATTAGGGTTCAGATATCAGGTAGCAATTCTTTTGTATTCTTTCGCAATTTCAACATTTAGTAATCAATAAGACCAAGATAGATTCGGAATCCAAATTGTTAGGTTGTTATTGTTAAGAAAAATGAAAAGGTAAAAGCTGTGATGGACAAGGAAGAATGACAACCTATGTTATGACTACATATTGTCCTTCATTTAGTTTCACTCTACAGTGAATGACACTCCTCTGCTGGCTGAACAATGACCTTCACCTGTTTACTGAACAATGCAGGCGTTCACCTATTGGCTGAACAGTGCAGGTCTTTGCCTATTGGCTAAACAATGCAGGCCTTCACTATTGGCTGAACAATGCAGGCCTTTGCCTATTGGTTGAACAATGCAGGCCTTCACCTATTGGCTGAACAATGCAGGCCTTCACCTATTGGCTGACCTTTACCTGTTTTTACCTTTGCTGGCTTCACAGTGACCTCCATACCATTGACCTTCACCTGTTGCCTATACTATGATAATTACCTGTTTGCGGCACAATGACCTTCACCTGTTGGTGGCACAATGACCTTCACCACCTGGCTGCTGAATTTTACCTTGGTATGTTGGCTACAAATTGACCTTCACCTGTTGGCTGAACAGTGACCGTCACCTATATGCTACAATCTGACCTTCACCTGTATGCTGCACAATTACCTTCACCTGCTCACTTTACTGCTATCTTCCTTGAGGCAGACTTACTTGGTGTTTATCTAATACATCTCTCTACTTTTAGGTCTAGGTGTCCCTTTAAAGTGATAAAACTTTCACCATGGAATGTGATCTGTTGTCATCACACTATTCTGTCACCTCTGTCTACATGATAACTTAACCTCGTTGTATCCAATGATTTCCAAGTGCCTCGTAATGAGCTTACCTTCACCTCGTGCAATTTTACTAGAAACACCAACAATTTTCTTGCTAAAAGTCCACTTTCCTGTTTGAGTTTCTAACTCCCTGAGACTCTCACATGTTGACCTCAGTATGACCTTTGCTGCTACCATCGCTGATATTACCAAACCTACATTTATGACCTTTGTATCCAGAAGATATGTTTTGATAAAAAGTGTCCTCTGATTTCCACCTATAATGCATATCTTGTAACAACTATCATCTTTGATTTAGCTTCCTTCATGGCACTCTTGTGACTTTAAATTGCACCTTAATGTTGATTGGATTCTTATTTTAGCATGGTTGTTGCCTATATATTCTTAATGGTCTTATGATTGTTTCAAAATATTACATTATGTTACCTATAAGGTGGAAAAAGCTCTTTGTATACAGGTAGTATTAACCATATTAAGATGTGTGATATGGTTAAAGTCATATAATTGTCATCATTGTAACACAAAGCAACAACAACAAGTTTCTGTCTTAATGCTTCAAAATAAAATGTTCGTAAAGCAGAACTTTTCATTTAGAACTTTTGTAAATTCAAATCTAAAAAAAAATTTTAAAAATCAGCCATTCTCAAATTTCCAGAATCCATGACGGTATTAGATTGTAGTGCCTATCAACATTGAAATGGTTGTAATGTCTAGTACTAACATTCTTGCTGTTTTCTATTTTACTTATCAGCATCTTAATGATCTTGACCACTCCTTGACCTATGACTCGGATGACTCGTCATTTCTCACAAACAGCGAGATCTCCTCCACCTTTTCTATGCATGAAGATCCCTCTTCTTCTGGTTTCCATGATGATGGTGTAAAAAGCATCCCTCCGGATGTGACCTCTACTAATTCTAAGTATCGTAGACCAGTTCCAACCACTAACACTGCCCCTGTGGCTGTTCCTTCTAAGCCCGGAGGTCTGATAAACTTCCTCAGTTCAGGGAATTCCCCTTCAAAGCTGTCAACAGACAGCCAGCAAAGCAAAGGTGTCAGTTTCAAAGTTGAAAATTACGCTGTTGGGAGCCCGCCACAAAGGAAAAGTATTATTCCTGACAAGAGTCATTTGTACCCACAGAAGCCAACAGGACATAAAGCCTCAGCTTTTTCTCGATTTAGAAAGACCAACAGCGATGGTAAGCTTGGGCTATCTGAAACTCCCAAAAGAGGCAGGTCAGATAGAGGTATGAGTGTGGGGACTTTTAAACCCATTCAACACGAGACATCTTTACATAGACCTGTTAGCCTAAAGGATTTTAGGACATTGTCCAATTCACCAGTGTCGGAAGAACAGTCTAGAAGGCAACAGACTGTGTCCACTTCACCGCTGTCAATGTCCAGAAAACCTGTTGAGGATCAAAACAGGGAGTCAACTCATCTCTAACTTTTAGCCAAGCATAGGAGCACTTCCGTAGTGGTGATGGTGTACAGACTAATATTACATCTTCTATGTTTCACTTGAATTATATTGTTTTTAATGTGCAGTCTTTGTGGTCTATATTCTGAAATATATAAGTAATATTTGTAAATTAGAACTGTAACAGTAGTAGTGCACATTCTGTAGTCAGGAAGTTAATCTAAATCTGTGATCCTCCTCAAAACATATAAACACTTATCCTTTCTGTCCCTTTATGACAAAGTTCCAGTTCTTGGACAGCATAGAATTTTTACTTGAGGTATGGATCAAACTGTTTCTAACAACAAAGGTTAAGAATACTGAAAAGCTTAATATTTTGAGAGAGTGGATCTCAACAGCTGTAGAATTTACCTAACTGTTTAAGTCACCAACCGTTTTGCTTTGAATCACTTTAATTAATATAGCCATGTTGCCTGGGATTCTTCATAACCCAAAGTCTCTATTTTCAGGTGTTCATTGTCATTGCTGAAATCTTTTCTATAAACCAATGTCATTGTATTGATGTTAGTTTCAGTTACTAAGTGACGGAAAATGCAAGTCAAACTGGTATTTTTATATTTTTGTAATTTTATTTAATTTATGGTTTTATTAATGATAAAAAATATTGGAAAATTATTAGAATAAGATTAAAAACTTATCAATGATGATGAATTTGATAATAAATTGGAAATGTCCAAAGATAAGTTTTCGGCTTTGGAGTGGGTTGGGGCTGTTAAATTTTCATATTTCGTAATTTAACCAAAAGTAGTCTCATTGTTTCTTTAATTCACTTATATATTCATTGATAGTTTACAGTTGACTTAGGAGATGAAATGTTTTTAACAACAGTTAAATAGTTGCTTCATTCAGTATTAAAACTGACAGAAATATGGTTGCTGAAATACAGATAACTCAAAATGGCAGAAGGTGTAGCTGACAATCCTTCTCTCCATATCATTTATTTCTACTAAACTGAAATTTTGTACTTATTTTAGATAACATTATAACTTGATAATTCATTTTTTGTTTTCGTTCATCGATTATAAAAGTGTGACTGATTCCCATCACTATATTTAGCAGTTGATGGTGGTTGTAGCATTTAAACACATAGACCTCTTTTCCTACCATATAAGATTCCCTGTATTGACATTAAAACCTTGTTTCAGTTACTGATTTTTTTGTGACATATTTCCCTGTATCTAGATATTTAATGTGAGGTATGTTTTCCTCAAGCTTCTCATATTGATGAAGTTGTTGTAACCTAGATTAATTGTAATATTGTTTCTTTGTTTACGAAATCGACCATGCATGTTCATAAGAAATCATAGATATATTGTCTACTAAATCAACCAAGCATGTTTATAAGAAATCATAGATATATTGTCTACTAAATGGGCCATGCATGTTTATAAGAAATCATTGATAAATTGTCTACTTAATCAATCATGCATGTTTATAGGAAATATATTGTTTACTAAATCAATCAAGCATGTTAATGAGCAAAAATCATAGATTTTTAGAATTTCAGGCAGCCATGCAAATTCTGAATAATTAAGAATCATATCAATCATTTATACAAAACATGGCAGACTATAATTATAGTTTACTAGTTTTAAGTCAGCAGTGCACAAGAAACCGGTCGTCAGTGTTCAACATTTCTGTAGTTTTGTCTCCTTTTGTTTCTGAATTTCCGCCTTTTACCAATGATGTTGATCCCCAGTTTTATGAATAAGATAAAAAGCGAGACAAAAATCAATCATTGATTTGTCAGCATGTTCAGGAAAAGGTACTAATAGATTTGAGGTGTGAGATTTCAGTGACAAAACATCAGTGTCTTTGAACGGAGATAAATTCTAAGGAAAATAGAAACACATTGTTTCATTGAATATCAGGGTATATCATCCTGTAGGTTTAAATCACCTTGTTAAATTACTTAATTATATTTCTGTCCCGGTATAAATTGTATATATATATCATACAAGGTTTATAGAGTATATAATGAACACTTTGTAATTCAGCAAGTCTCAGCTGGCGTATTGAAAAGTAGTTTTAATTCATTTCAATATTGGCATAATTAAGACTATACACATGTGCTTCACATCGTTCGTAATTTACCAGATAAATGAAAATTATTAAATTTATTGAATCATTGGTAGTGCACCTTGCTGTTCAAATTCCAATTTTTTTTCAATCACTTTGGATTTACCTCAAAGGCTTCATATTCAGGCCTTTAGCATCACTGACGAGTCCTAGAAGGAGGAAACAGCTGTATGGTACAGTTCAATTCATTGTTCGGCTCTACTGCATCTAACTCTAAATTTGTATTAAAAGGTGCTGTTCATGAAGGTCATTGCGTATCTTTTGTACAATATTTGTAGTGTAACTTTAATATCTTATTGAGTAGAATTGATTTTGAAATCAGTGTCATATTTAAGTGAAATCTTGTCAACAAATTTAAAATAAATTTGAGAAGTTTATACAGATTTATTTTTTATTTCAGATTAGTTTTTAAAAGTTTATTTTAAGGACTGAGCGTATGTGAGGTTTTGTTGTATATGTATGAAAGATATTGAATAAGGAAGAAAGTTTAAAACACAGAAACTCAAAAATATGATATTTAATGATACAGGGGTGAACCCAATGTCGTTACTTTAATGAAGGTTTTTTTGGTTCCATATGCCCCATACGTGGATACCAACCAGAGTGAAATGAGGGTGTGTCGGAAAATGATTTGACTTGACCATTTTATATCTGTTCAGTTACATTCACCATGATGGAGTATATTGGGTTGTTTTAAAGGGTGAAATAATCCTTAAAACAAAACCAGCCAGAAAACATTATACAATCTTATAATTGAAAATAAACCTGAAATTTTATTCTCATTATTCCAATTATTTAGACTTGAATCATTTGGGCTTTGTGACTATTAGATCATTACAATAGTATCCTATTTCATGAAATCCAGGGTGCCATAATAGCTCAGTCAGCCATTTCAACCTCAGGTGGAGAACTGAGCTGTGTGGTTCAGTCCCTGCCTAGAGACTTTGTGTGCCTCAGGTGAAAATCTGAAATGTGTGGTTCAGTCCCTACCCAGGACAGTGTGTGTGTTTCCAGTGTGTGGTTCAGTCCCTACCCAGGACAGTTTGTGTGTTTCCAGTGTGTGGTTCAGTCCCTACACAGGACAGTTTGTGTGTTTCCAGTGTGTGGTTCAGTCCCTACCCAGGACAGTTTGTGTGTTTCCAGTGTGTGGTTCAGTCCCTAACCATGACAGTTTTTGTGTTTCCAGTGTGTGGTTCAGTCCCTAACCATGACAGTTTGTGTTTCCAGTGTGTGGTTCAGTCCCTACACAGGACAGTTTGTGTTTCCAGTGTGTGGTTCAGTCCCTACCCAGGACAGTTTGTGTGTTTCCAGTGTGTGGTTCAGTCCCTACCCAGGACAGTTTGTGTGTTTCCAGTGTGTGGTTCAGTCCCTACCCAGGACAGTGTGTTTCCACAGTGTGTGTTTCCAGTTTCAGTTTGTGTGTTTCCAGTGTGTGGTTCAGTCCCTACCCAGGACAGTTTGTGTGTTTCCAGTGTGTGGTTCAGTCCCTACCCAGGACAGTTTGTGTGTTTCCAATGTGTGGTTCAGTCCCTACCCAGGACAGTGTGTGTGTTTCCAATGTGTGCTTCAGTCCCTACACAGGACAGTTTTGTATTCTTCAGGAAGCTGAAATCAGATATCCTATATTCTTGTGGTAGCATGTATTTCGGTGAGGTATCCACAAGCTACAATTAGGAGATCCATCTCAAAATGAAACTGGCTGTTGATGGGTCAAGATATTAACAAACTTAAATGAAATACTGTTCTTTGTAATTTCCATAACCATTGTTAGAAAAATAATTATATTCTCAACAGGTTTCAGAATTAAAGTGTGACATGAAATAGACTTGTCAGTATCTATTTAGTAGTGTTTATTTTTAATTATTTGTTTTCAGTCCTAGAAGAAGTTTTTACTTCCAAAGATCTTGCTGTTCCGGTATTGGTTTCAATTTATAAATAGTTTTTATTTATTGTAAATTATGGGGAAACATGATCTAATGTGATGCCTGGAATCATTGATAACACAGTTAAGGTTTCTTCATAAGACTTTTTATCTAACAGCTTTGAAATGCTACATATATATTTATCATAGCCAGCCAAGTGTAGAGTGATTAATCTAAAGTCAGCTTTTATCTTCCATTTCTTTATTAGCCCATCATCATCAAATGGTGAACTATTCAAAATGTTTTGCTTCCTTGGTCCTTTGTCCGTCCGTAAACAATTTTTGTTATCGGTATTTCTTGAGAAGTACTGGATGGACCTTTTTAAAATTGCAGATATAGGTTCCCCTTGGTCCCTAGTTGTGCCGTTTTGTGAAGAGGGGGCTGATCAGAAGACTTAATGGACGACAGGCAGCCATCTTTGGTTTTTTTAATTTACTTTGTTATTGTTATTTATTTCTTGAAAAGTAAGAGATGGATCTCTCTCAAATCTCATATGTAGGTGCCCCTTGGTCTCTAGTTGTGCCCACGTAATTTTGGGACTGATCAGAAATACAAAATGGCCAAAAGTTGGCCATCTTGGATTTTGACTTTGAAAGTTTGTTATCGCTATTTCTTGCTGCATGGATCTTTCTTAAATATCATATGTACGTTCCAATTTGTACCTAGCTGTGCCCATTCGATTTCGGGTCTGATCAGAAAAACAAAATCAAAAATAAAGATTATCATTGCACTTTCTGCAAAGGAATGTTCAAATGTTTTATCATTAAGAGCAAAAACAAAGAAAAAAGAAGGCAATAGATCAAAGAGCATAGAAAGATCAAACAATGGTAGGCATCAAGATCCCTCTGGGATCTCTTGTTTACTACTTCACATTTGTTTGTTTGTTATTTTTTTTTTTTTTTATTTATGTCAGCTGACTTAATTATTATCCAATAACTTAAAATGGCAGGGGAGGTATTAGGGGTTGAAGAAAAGGGTTCTTTAGAACAGTATCTGTATTTGTATTATGTACATCCGTTGTCTAATGAGCTGATTAATGCAGTTTCAGGAGACTAAATTGAAAACTGAAGATATCTGATTTGTTAACAGGGGTTAATTTTTCATTTGTTTCTGTGGCTAATCCCATCACCATGGAAACAAATACAGTTTAAAAAAGAGTAGTAATTAAGATAAATAAATGCATTATTTTCAAAAAAAAAAAAAAAAATAAGAATTTACTGTTTATCACTAAAAGTTCAGAATTGTCTATCTTATTATTGAACAGTTTAATATGGTATAAAATATCATTTCAATCATCAAAAAAATTTACTCTATATTTGTGCATATATTCTAGCATGTTAAAATGTAGTTTTTTAAAGGGTCCATTTCATTCATAAAAACAAAAGAAGGAATGCAATATATGCTGTTTACATTAAAATCTTTCAGCACTTCACACACGATAGCACATGCTTTAACTGTAGAAGCAGCTTTAGGCTATATAGAAAATTTTGCTTCAATAGAGCAGGATAATTGCCATTCTGTAAGTAAGAATAACATGTATATAAGTTACAAAGATTTTCTCACTCCAGAAATTGTATATATATCTCTATATTGATTTTGTAATATAGATATATTCATTTTTTACAATAAATTGTAGATTTTAATTACATGAAATATTCTTAATATTTTGATGTGACAAAAATTCACAATGAAATGTTGTGATAAGTGTTGGAAAAAAGTCACAAGATTTGATAATGTGGAAAGCTACTGGCATCTATAAGGACATGTTTCCCCATGTGTTTGTATTGATGCTAGATGGTAAGGGTGAAGAGCTGGAAAACTACAGTGGAGTCGCAATTTGGGGTTCTGAAATTAAAGAAAAAGATTTTTCTAAATCATGAAGCAAGCAATTGCTTATGAAAATCTATTTCAAATTTTTGGTTTTGGATTATCAAATATTTTCAGAATCTGTATATCACAATGGGATTCCACTGTTTGTACATTGGAACCTTGTATGTCTTAACGCAGCTAGTAAACTACATGCTTTCATTTATAATCATAAACATGGGAGAAAAGATTTAAAGAAAAAACAAAGGTCCATAAAAAAAAACATATTGGGAGGTAAACTATCAACAGGCAGATATTGGATAACTGGAAATAATATATTTTACAAGTTTCCATTGTGCATATGTTTTGGAAAATACATGATAGAGTTATCTCCCTTCTGTCACCTCCAATATGTATCTTCACTTTGGTAATTTCTATATATAACCCAATAAATGTTGTAAATGTCATTAAGATATAATTTGTTTAGAAAGGGGTAGCAGGTTATCCGTATTAGTTCTACAAAGGTGTTGGATTATTCCAAATTTAGTCATTTCTGTAGAGGTATACAGTCTTTTCTATTGCAACAAAGGATTATACCAAATATAGGTTATTCTGAGGGGTGTTAGGTTATACCAAATACAGTCACTTCAGTTGGGGATATAAGGTCAATATAAAATAAAGTTACTTCTAAGGTAATTTTAGATATTTAACTTGAAGTGATTTTAAAATTTTAGGTGACAAAGTTTTCTTATATTAACTGACGTTACAAATTAACGTAGAAATTTTGGAATATATATGATTATTTTTACAGTATAAGGGTAGGGCTAGATATAATATTGTGTTGATAAGAAAGAAAGGTCCACTATGAAAGTAAAAATATAAATGAAAATGAGACCGATATCACTTTTTTTTTTCAAAACTTAAAACACATATATTTATAGTTAGCATTGCTAGATCAGAAGAGATTAATGTTCCTGATGTTCTGAAAGGGAGAAAACAGGTGCTAAATAGCAGAGTAGAGGCGAAGCTACATAATCAAATTAGCCTGGTTACAGATTTGCTCTTAACAATGAAACTTAATGAGTGTGGAAATAGAATTCAGGACATTTTTCTTAAAAATTAGATGAAGAAGTTAATATCAAGCTCTTCCTATAGATATTGAATGTTCACAAAGAGTGAGATATTCCGAAATGAAAAAAAAAATTATAAAATTTATTTCAAATTTGAAAAGAACCTTTATATTATGTTATGACTCCATATTAGTCTAACACTGTAAATAATGAGATTTTGTAAAGGCAGTATTTTACCTGTTTACAAATTTTTAATATTTTCCTTTTTTCTTGCTTTTTTAATTATTTTTTATTTTAACTTTGGAAATTCCTCACTATTTTGTTATCATTATGATATATCTATATATACACAGGATTACTTTGAACGTACAATTGTCTCAAAAGGATTTGTACTATTTCATCTTAACATTTTTATTCTGAATAATCTTACGATATTAAGTATTTCAATCAACATTCCACAACAATTTCTGAAGCAACAAAATGCCAGATATAGATTGATGTTAAAAAGGTTTTAATTGT